GCAAGCCACTGGGTCCGGGACTTGAACCGTGGTCAACTATGTGGGAGTCCAGCAACATAGCCATTACACCAACTGCTGGTCCCGTTAAAAATATTTTTTAATGGAAAAAAAATCCCTTACCAAAATAATCACTTTACATTTTAGCCTATTTTCTATATATTTAAACCTAGTATTATCTCATAAATTTTTAGCCATGTTATTAAAGATTTATCAACTAAGTATTTGTGTGTGTGTATGTGTCCTGTTTTTCTTTTTTAAGACAAGGTCTTGCTATGTTGTGATCCTCCTGCCTTGACTTCCCGAGTAACTGGGATTACAGGCATACACCACTGCACCCAGGAATGGAACCTGGAAACTCTCATGAATCCTTAGACTGCTAAGCAGCAGCATTGAGCCAGTGCTCCCACATTGGGGCCAAAAATAATTTTTTTTTTTTTGGAGCGGTTTTTGCTATAGGGTGCGTGTGCTCGTCAGACAGAGACAGAAAGCAGGAAATCAACCCCTAGGGAGGATGGCACGCTGCAATTCCTTCTCCTCCATTCTCCTCTTGGGATCTTGGGCATGCACGCACACACGCCCGGTGTGAGTTTTAAGCCACTGGGTCCAGGACTCAAACCGCGGTCGACTACGTGGGAGTCCAGCGACATAGCCATTACCGCTAACCGTGGTTCGAGTACCGGACCTGGCGGCTTAAACTCACGCCAGGTGCTTGTGCGTGCGTGCCCAAGATACCAAGAGGAGAATGGAGAAGGGATTGCGATGTGATCATCCCCCCTGAGGGGTGATTTCTCGCTTTCTATCTCTCTGTCTCTCTCTGTCTCTCTGGCGAGTGCACACGCCCTGTAGGAAAAACCTCTCAAAAAAAAAAAAAAAAGTAAAAAGTGGTCAGCTTGCAGCCTGGCAGTTATATGAGCAAGATTCCACATGGTTGACAATGTGGTTCGAGTCTAGCAGCTTGAAAAACATGCCAGGTACATATGCATGCATGCCCCAAATCCAGAAAGGATGGAGCAATGGAAGTGTGATTGCAGCATGACCATTTTCCAAGGGGGAGGGGTGTTCTTGCATTCTCTCTCTCTCTAGCAAGTGCACATGTCCTCTGGCAAATAAAAAAATACAAAAGGCTACTGAGAAGTCTTTTAAAATGAGCTGAGCATCTTCATACATTTGAAAAATTAGGGGAAAAAAAAACCCTCCAGTATGGAGGCCAGCAGATAGTGTGATGGTTAAGGTGGCTGATTTCCACATGGTCAACTTCAGTTTGAGTCTTGGATCTAGTAGCTTGCAACTCACTCCAAGCTTACATGCATGTCGCAAATCCCAAGAGCAGAATGGAGAAGCTGCTAGAGGGGTGATTTTTCACTTTCCCTTTCTTTATCTCTCTCTGTTTCTCTCTTCTCCAAAAGTACACATACCCTATGGCAAAACCTAAAAAAAAAAAAAAAAAAAAATCCAGTGAGGTCAGCCAAGCTGCAGTGGCACAAGGAATAGGGTACCATTGCATGATCCTGGAGTCATGTGAGAGGCCCAGGTTTAAATCCTGGGCCAACCTGAACATGCAGGGCATGCTCATAGTGGGTCTGTGATCCTGTTTGGATGGGGACTGAGACACAGGGAGGCCTTGTCAGGGGTCCCTTTTACCCCATACCTCCATGAAGAAAATAAATGGATGAGGTAAAAACAAAACAAAACCCAGTGGGTTTATATTGCTATAAGTCATAGCTGTCCACCTGAAGGGTTTTTTTGTTTTGTTTTGTTTTGTTTTGAGAGATTTTCACTGTAGGGCGCGTGCACTCGCCAGACAGACAGAGACATAGAGACAGAAAGCGAGAAATCACCCCCCAGGGGGGATGGTCACGCCGCAATCCCCTCTCCTCCATTCTCCTCTCGGGATCTTGGGCACGCACGCACACGCGCCCGGCGTGAGTTTTAAGCCACCGGGTCCAGGACATGAACCGCGGTCGACTATGTGGGAGTCCAGCGACATAGCCATTATGCTAACTGCTGGTTCCCCACCTGAAGGGTTTTAAAAGAAAGTATATGAGATGATTATAGGGGAGTCAGAAAGATCTCTGAGATGGCTAGGTTCTCGAACTCTTAGATTTTTATAAAAAAATAAATGAGGAATCTAGTTTCAGATTTTTGTTAAGAGGGTTATTGAAAAACTAATCAATGCATGAAAGGATATTTAAATACCAAAAACACTGAAAGGATATAATCTTGAAGTAAAAGCTAATATTTGAATTTAAATAACTGCTTTAGTGAAAAATTCAATAATTTGACTTTAAGTGGCTTATTAATGCCTCAAAGGATCATCTGTTAAAATTCTGATACCAAAGAATAATTGGTAAGAAAAATAAATTATAGGGACCAGCAGTTAGCGTAATGGCTATATCGCTGGACTCC